TCAATTATTGAACCGCTTAAAATATCGATATTGAATTGACAGCACCAAAATTTTACTGTCTAGACTCTAGATATATTTGTTTTTAAAACTATATTGTCCTACGATATTTTATCAAGGAGATGTTTGTTATGAGATATTTTTTTTGAAGACACATCATCTTGATACAATTTATCATGAGATAATTCGCAACGATATACTTTGCTTTGGATATTTTATCTGTGAGATAATCTGTGATGAGATACTTTGTCTGAGATATGTTAATTAGCTCATTACGCGATATCACGTGCATTTTAATCAAGTCTAAATTAATTCCTTTTCTTTTCCTTAAGCCTCGCTTGGAAACTGAAACAAAAAATCTCATGACAGCACTTTTCTGTACATGAAACAAAAATCCCATTACAGCACTTTCTGTACTCTACATAAAACGGCCTCTGTTTGATAGAGTTTAATTACGCTCCGATTCTCATACCCCCCCCTCCCCGATCACGACTCTCCAGCAAAGTTACAGACAATTAAATTAAAACAAAGCCGACCAATCTATGTTTGATGTACTTTGGGAGTGTCTGTGTTTAACTTGTGGTAGCTGTTTGGCTTTTAGATGATCAATGAATTACTTGCATCTGATGCTGAGGTTCTAGTAGTTGCATTGCCACACATGAGTACTTGCCAATAATATGTTACATTTTAATCATTATCGTTTTGATGAAGTTAAAGTTATACATATAAGTGAATTGTCACAATATGACGACAAACGAGTGTTGACGATTTTACGCCCCACCTCACAGTCATGAAAACTTGGACCCTCAACTCCCGTACAATAACTTCATACTTTAGCCTAATCCAGTTTTATTTATTGATTTTTTTAAATAGCATTTATAACTTTTCTGAAATGAAATGTAATGTTAGCTAAAGAATACAATCATTTTAAAAGGTGCGCCCCTCCGCTAAAATCCGCTACCACAAAGTTTCCCTCGAGCCGAAACAATTGCATACCCCGGACCTAGTCCTAATTCTCAAACTTTCACATTGATTTTTTTTAAACACTTCATTAAAATAATTAAGCTCTATCGAGAATAGGTATAAAGATAAAATTTTATTACAATTTACAAAAAAGAACCTTTTTTAAATTGGGTAAAAATTGCTGCAAAAATTTAATTTAAAAATTACGTTTTAAACTGTAAAATGTGACGTCAAACTGGCTAGACAGATTATCTTTTTTTTCAATTTCCACACATATTTACAAGGTCAGAACTGCTGAAGTGTTTGTCAGTTTGTGGTCGGCCCAATTTTAGTCTATCTATATACTACTAAAAATCAAGTTTGTTTACATGTTTGAATATTTATTTTTTTGTTTTTTTGTTTGTCCGATCGAGTATTGTGATATGTTCGACTCTATCTGGAGAGCTGTAAAATAGTATGTAGGTAGAGAATAATTTTTTAATGCAGACAGACTGTTAATCACAAATTTATTTAAAGACGTTAATTAATTTATTGAATTATTCATACGTAGAGTAACCCATTTTTTTTAAAATGTTAAAACATTGACTAAACTTTGTGGGAATAGTGACGTCACAGGTTTTTGTTTACTCTTTAGTACAATAAAATGGCGGCGTCTATCGAAGAAAATTGTGTTCCCATTCAAAAGTTTAACGCGTTCTAAATCTAATTTTCTGTCGGTCATAACTTTAACAATACGTCCGTTTGCTGTATTTATTAGGTTCCAACACTTATATCAATTTTAAAATGTCTTTTTTCATTTAGTTTTACAATAAATTTCTCTAGATCTAAAGATCAGCTGTCGAAGGAAAGTTTTGAATCTAGCCTAGATCTAGATCTAGATCTAGCCTAGATCTAGGTCACTAGACTCAATGTAAATTCTAGATCTAGACTTAATGTAAATTCTACATCTAGAATCTATTTCAGGCCTTAATACATCTAGAATCTATTTCAGGCCTTAATTATTTTATATAAATCTTTGTTTGGCTAATTTAAGATAAAATTTAATTTGAAAGTTACTACTACTAGACTTAGATCTAGATCTATGCGCGTAAATCAAAGTATAGTATAAAAATTCACTTGTGACGTCACGAGTAAATAGCTAAGTTGGTAGCGTAGTCGGCCCTCATGCGGGTGGCACAGGTTCTAGACCAATATGTCAATGATATTTTTTTTTCAATTTTTTTTTAGATGTGAATGATAAAGTTGCCTATCTGAACTTGGCAGGATACAGGGCAGGTGAAGTAGAGTTCATCTGTTTCTTTGTCCTAAGCATATGAAAGGATAGTGTGGTCAGAGACATGCTCGGCTGGAATCGTTTTTTAAACGATAAAAACATGTTGTCTGAGACTTGGCGGGACACTGGGCAGGTGAAGTAGACTTGAGTAGGTCACATGTGACGTCAGTATATGAAGGGATAGTCCGAAATCGGTGTTTTCGGTGTTTTTAAAAGATAAAAAACTTATTTTTGAATGTGGGGTCTGTTTTTTGTGACGATAAGTGACACTGCAGTAGCGTAGCGAGGAGGGGGGGGGGGCGGGAGGGGAGGGGGGGGGAAGGGGAGGCGGGGGAGGTGGAGGGGGGAAGGGGGGGGGGCATATGTTGGGGCGCCAAAATGGTTTGGAAAAATAAATTGAAAGGTTGAGGGGGGTTCAAATCGAAAGTCTGAGTGGGGGGGGGGGGGGTGCACATCAAAAGTTTGAGGGGGGGGGGTTGAAAATCGAAATCTTGGGGGGGGGGGGGTTCAAATCGAAAAGTTTGTCCCCGGGCGCCGGGAAGGGTCGCTATGCCTCTGAGTGACAGACGTGATGTTTTTTGATGGATGACCCCCGAAACCCACAGTTATCCAACGGATGACGGGTATTCTAGTTATATCTAACATTCAATCTACAACAAATGGTTATTACCTAGATCTACTAGTTTTACAAAGGGAGCGATGACTAAGTTTATTTTGGGGACTGTTCATTCGATCAAGTCCCAACTGTACACCTTAGCGTGTCCATGTCGCCAACTGTTTGTGTGTAATTGTTTGCTTGTTAAATCTGGACTTGTGTACTGGATTTGTGTGAGAATGTTTACATATTAGATTCGGGACTGTGTACAGATTAGATTTGGGACAGTGTACAGATTAGATTTGGGACTGTGTACATATTAGATTTGGGACTGTGTACAGATTAGATTTGGGACTGTGTACAGATTAGATTTGGGACTGTGTACATATTACATTTGCGAATATGTGCAGATTAGATTTGAGACTGTGTACATATTACATTTGCGAATATGTGCAGATTAGATTTGAGACTGTGTACGGATTAGATTTGGGACTATGTACTGTCTAAATCTGGCATTGTGTACATAATATATGTGGAAATGTATACATACAGTTTCGCTTCTTCTTATAGCAAGAGGTCAACCAGTTTCAACAAATCCCGCCAGATTAATTCAACAGATTTAACATATTAAACTAGTTTCACACTTCCCGTTGTTATACATGTAAACACAATTTCACAAGCCAATAATATCAAACACCGAGATGGACGCTGACATCACATCGCGGCCATGTTCAATCTCCAGAGTAATCGAACAAATGGGAGCCAATCAAGGGCACCATCGATCTGATATCAGAATCTCATGTCATTGAGAGCAGCCGGCTAAAAGTTCACACACTTCCCACCTTCGCTCCCATCAAAACACAGAGAACATCCGCTCCGAATTGTGGACCATCTTCCCACGCATGTGAAATTAGGTTCTCAAATAAAGAAGCTTCATCCCCGTTTTATCTATCTACCACTGTGCCTGTCCTTATATCCAGTGTGCACTTATATCAACGCTATAGACATTTGCTTGAATGCGTATTTCAAAATTATATTTTGCATAACAGCTGATTCGAAATCAATAAAACACAAAAAGTAAATAGAACACTACTGCAAACAAAATCGATCTAGTATTTTAAGGGAGTGCACTGTTTTGGGCAATATTTAAGTCACAAAAATATGATACAATTAAAAATACATCACGCTGTTAAAATTTCTATAAAAATATATGCATGAAATCATTTCTGGTCAACCACTGAAAAAAGCATACATTTAAATACAAAATAAAAACATCACAAGTTACGTACATAGAACTTTGTTATATATATATATATATATATATATATATATATATATATATATATATATATATATATATATATATATATATATATATATTATGTTTAAAAATACGACAGTTGCAAGGGTTTAAGATACCCTGCTTTCACATACAACTACCCTGTAGGTGGATATATAAACCTGGTTACAGACCAAAAATAAAAATCAACTTAGAACGCTAAAGTCTGAAGGTAGAGCCTAGTTCGGCCTGTCTGGCACATTGTCTTGCTCAGAGTGAAACCGGAAGTCAGTTGAAATTTACACGGCACAGTGAAGATGAAAGAACTATTTTTTCCAGATTTCTGGCACCGGGTTCATGCGCCACAGGAGCTCTCGATGTCGGATTCTCTCTATTACATTTTAGGTTTAAAATTCAAGTAGATTTAAGATGGAATAAAATATATATATATTTTTTTTTTAAATCTGAGAATTTAAAAGTTGAAGGCGTAGGTGGATCAAGGGATAGAAATATTCAATAATGTCATTTGTCACAAAAAATGTATCTGATTTTTAAAAAAAAACAAGGTTTATTATAATTATTCAGGAGACAATAACCCAGTGGCGTAGCGAGGTCGGGTGTCACCCGGTGCGGCACTTAATGGTGTCACCCCCCAGAGGCGTAGCGACCCTTCCCGGGGACAAACTTTCAAGTTTTCGATTTGCACCCCCTCAAGTTTTCGATTTGCAGCCCCCCCCCCCCCTCAAACTTTCGATTTGCACGCCCCCCTCTCAAGTTTTCGATTTGCACCCGCCCTCCCCCCTCAAACTTTCGATTTGCACCCCCCTCAAGTTTTTCTCTATATATTTTGCTATTTTTTGCCTTGGTGTCATATATTTATAACCCTCAATTGCATGAGTAAGTCTTTACTGAAGGACCAGGAGACTGAAATTTTTTTTAGTTGATCATGTCAATTTAAATGTCATTAGTTTGTTTATCTAAATTAACAATTTGACATTCTCTGAACAGATGAGACATTTTGACATTCTCTTACAAATGAAACATTTTGACATTCTCTGAACAGATGAGAAGAAGAAGGGCTGGTGTGGAGTCGCATGGGATAAAATTATGTGCTGGAACGAAACCAAGCCAGGCACAGTTGTCACGGCACCATGTCCTGGTTACATCGAGTTCTTTAACACTTCAGGTAGGTGTATTTATAGGTGTAGATTTCAGGTGGGTTTATTTATAGGTGTATATTTCAGGTGGGTTTATTTATAGGTGTATACTGCAGGTAGGTGTATTTATAGGTGTATACTGCATGTGGGTGTATTTATAGGTGCAGATTTCAGGTAGGTGTATTTATAGGTGTAGATTTCAGGTAGGTGTATTTATAGGTGTATACTGCAGGTGGGTTTATTTATAGGTGTATACTGTAGGTATGTCTGCTCATAGGTATAGATTTCAGGTAGGTGTATTTATAGGTGTATACTGCAGGTATGTCTGTTTATAGGTATAGCTTTCAAGTAGGTGTATTTATAGGTGTATACTGCAGGTGGGTTTATTTATAGGTGTATGCTGCAGGTAGGTTGATTCATAAGTATAGAATTCAAGTAGGTTTATTCATAGGTGTAGTCTTCAGGTAGATTTATTAGTAGGTGATTTCAGGTAGGTTACTTTATAGGTATAGACTTTAGGTAGTTGTAATCATAGGTGGGTTGTTTCATAGGTGTAGACTTCAGGTGGATTCTATTGTATGTGTAAATTTTAGGTTGATGTTTTCATAAGCGTAAACAATATGTGGGCTATTTCATAAGAGGATAGTTGTATCATTTGATAAGCCTAGGCAATAGTTATGTTGTTTCAATTAAGCGTAAGAAATGTTTGGGATGTTTCATAATAAAAAGGATGGTTGTTTCATAAGAGTACAGTTGTGTTGTTTTAAAAGCTTAGGCAATAGTTGTGTTGTTTCTTAAGGTAAAAAAGGTAGGTTGAGTAAGCTATAGGTATGTAGGTTCATCAGCTTAGATTTTAAGAAAGCTCTTCCGTGAGCTGTAGACCATTTTGTACAGTTGTCCAGAAAAGAGGACAGGCAGGCAAACATCATTAGTCTAAATAGAATTAACCGGGGATAGCTTGAAAAAAAAGCCTGATTGGTCTATCGCAAGAATTTTGTGTTTATAATGAGTGAGGGCGGTATTTAATTAGTCTACCAGTCTAGACGATTTTTTTTCTTATAAGCAACTTATGCCGGGGGTGACAATTACTTTTTGGTGCGGTAAATATAAACATTCCAGGTTCGATCAAATCTTAACTTGGCGTGGAGGCCCCGTTATGTTAACGCTGCTTTTGTCCAATGCGGTAAATATAAACATTCCAGGTTTGATCAAATCTTAACTTGGCGTGGAGGCTTCACTGTTTTAACGCAGTTTATGTGGTCAACACAATGTAGTTTTAAAAAAAAATTATGATCACGATCAAGGTTATTTAATTCATGAATGTTTAGTAGGTGCAACTCGAGCAATGGTTCTTAGGGAGGGGGGAGGACATCATTGTATTAGCGTCGAGAAATAAGGTATCTCCCAATGCGTTAAATGATGTTTTTTCGGTTTTAATTGATAAAACATTGTTTTTGACAATAAATGTGATTGATTTTCGATTTGGTGTCACCCCCCCCCCCCACCCTTGTGACACATTTCTGGAATAGAAAACAAATACATATTGAATACATGAAAAAGTAAATTTAGAAATAAAAATGTTATTTACAAAAATTAATATATTGCAGCAAGGCAAAGATCGTGAAATAATGTGTGCAACATTATATTTGCCATATTTCGTATGAAGTGCATAGCAGAAAATATTGTCTATACTATTTCACCTGAGACATTTGTTCTGAAATATTCTATGTGATATATTTAATGGGAACAATTCCGTCATAGTTCGCCTTTATCCACCAATATGATTGTGTGCTGAAAATCCCTGAGTATCTCATAGACTTAATTTTAAAAAAAAAACCCACTCATTTTCATCTTTGTGTATGTACGGACCACTTTGTTAACATACGATGGCCTGTATTGTTGTAACATAAGAAGCAAAGGTAGTCCTTCAATATAATATGATAGACGTTACATTGACTGATAACATACACACAAGTCAACATATGAGAGATATTTACTTGAACGACGATCTGGTTTGTAAATGTCAAATCTACACAAGAAGATCTAGCGAGCAAGAAGCTAGACTTTATTGGGGAAGAAATCAATCAATTATTAACGACGGTAGACAGCGTCATATATGGTGTAGACAGTGCTGAGAGTGGGGTGATGTTTATTCAATATCTACCCAAAATAGAATTGATAAACTACGTTATAATGTCTAGGGAGCATACGCTTAAGTGTTTATTCAACAATGTTTATTAAATTTTATCCCAAAATAAACTTTGATAAACGAGATATTATTTAATTTAAAAGTCTCCGGTGTTACAAAAATGTCATTGGCGTCACAAAATGTCTTCGGCGTCACAAAATGTCACCGCGTTACAAAACGACGGTGTTTTGTGATGTCTTGATGGCATTTACATTACAAGTGCAGCGTAGCTTATACTTGCTTATACATTGGAAGAAAAAGGATTGTTCTTGCACAGGATGTTATTGAGATGACACTTGCATTTGAAGTTTTATATGGTAGGCTACTTGCATTGAATGTGTTTGGGATGGATCTTGCAATTAATGTTCTCAGAATGTCACTTGCATTAGATAATGTTAGGATATTAATTGCATAGGGGTTCAGTAGACTAGTCATTCAATCACAGTCTAAAGTGCTTGACCAGCTGTTTCAGAGACCTCAGTCTGGTGAGTAACTAAACGGGAATTTGGCAGACATTTCTCGTCTTCGATTGACATTACACATTACAGAACATTCTTACATGCCTTCACACAGCTCTAATCATAGCTTAAAAAAAAAATAAAAAAATAAAAAAATTATTTTGGTGGGCACAAAATTTATGTGAAACCGGTACAAAGAAGGAAACTTATTAATATGATTTATGGACCATGTAAAATCTCACGTGAAAAGACCCCAATTTAAATTGGTTCTAGAGGTCGTTGACCTGTGAAGCGTTCCTTTAAATCCAGTCTGCTGATGACTAGCCTACATCCGAGCAAACAACAAGCTCATGATGAATGTGCTATCACAAGGTCAGTTACAGAAAGCCGCGTTTCACATGAAATAATTCCAGTGGAACTTAAAGTACAATGCTCCCATTCCAATAGTCACATGATCCACACAAAAACACTCGGGAGATGAATGAAAGATTTTTATGTCTATGGTCAAAATGCCAAGTTTCGATCCACGCCTTGTCAAGTTTGGATGTCATGTAGAGAAACATCGTCCACTTTCTGAAAGATGCCACGTTTAGATATATAACTTGTGTAAGACACGGATGTCAGACATACCCCTATAGTTGTCAACACCCCCCCCCTCCCTTGATCAGTGCTATGGCCATTGTATCAGCCAATTCCTGACCACGAATACGCAACTTTCAGCGGAAAACAAGTTTTTTTTTTAGGTTTGATGTTTCGGCATTTTGTCCTCGTTGGCCCAGTTCTTTTCACACCAGAGCTTCATGGGCAAGCAACAATGGGCCGCGCTACGACGCACTGTGGAATAAATGTATTACTTCGTACAAATGTATAAATAAAACGGGGTGTGGAAAAAAATGTATTACATCGTACAAATGTATAAATAAAACGGGGTGTGGAAAGTGATGTATATGACGTCAAGAAAAAAACGTGAAAGATTATATAGATAAAAACTAAAGTGCAACGGGTCTAGATTGTTTAGCTGATTAGCACGACGTGATATCAATAGCGATTAATTATGCATGAAATTGTATACACTAATCAATCAAAATAAAACAAATAATAACCTTACATATTTAGACTTTACAGATGTGTAAATCTAATCACAAATCGACTTGTAACTTCTTGATTCAAACTCTTTTTGGCTTAAAAATAAATGGTGTAAATCCAAGCTTGAAAAGTATGTTAATATAAAGTTTGTTAATTCTTCCTTTTGAAGCAAACACTCAAAAATATTGTATATATTTTAACATATTTTTAAAGTTAAACATGATACAAGATTTGAACATTAGACCATTTTACAAGAATAAGAAAAAAAAAACCACAATTTAATACTTAATAGACTAAATGATTCGATTTTATGAAAAATACAGCAACATATTTTGTTGTTAAAACAATCTTTAAAAATATCTTGTGAAAAAAACAACAGAACAATCTTGTCCTGAAGATGGTGATAAAAAAAGATGAATTAATCATCTGCTCTCAAAAAAATGTCTACATCATTATGCGGACAGGGGAGGGTACTTGCTTTTCATTACAGAGGTCATTCTAGCTGTTGATCAATAGAGTTTCTCCCCTTGTTTCCCCAGCACTCCCCCAGTACCCAGACACAATTAACCAATTACCCCGAACATCCCCCAAGACACGCGGTAAATCCCATTTATCAAAAACCTAGACAGTTCAATGAGATCCAGATTTGTACTTTAAATATAGAACTCTTTTGTTTTTGCTTTATTAGATCATTCGTCCAGACAAAAATAGCGTCTTATGAATTACTTATATTTAAATAAGACGACATAAGCTTCAAATTACAATAATTTACGCCTGTTTGTCTTTCTATATCTTTGTAGCGAATCTCGTAACTCAGTTTTGACCCACGTTTAATTCAGGATTTTGTTGAAAATTTCCAGATACAGGCGCTTCCAAAGACGAGGCAAGAATATCTTATTTTAATCAGTCTAACATTAATAAGAGGCAGATAATTGTCTTTTAGGGTGTAGTTTACAAGCAATTGATCGGGTTTTTGAAGGAAATATGTTTACTGTGATGTGGGATCGACTTCATTAAGAGCAAAATGAATGTAAAAAAAATGTTCTATTTAACTTGATTCCTCTTTAGTTTTGAATGGAAACCAACAAGCGAAATTTCGACCACTTCTAACGGACCGATTTTTTTTTCAATCTTGTCACGAAGGTCAAATACCTGATTACAAAGCTTTGTGGCAGCAAAATTGACATAATTGGATGCTTAATTAAGTTTTGAAAGAATTAATTAAAGTACTAGTCATGCTATTATACGCACATCATTTGAGTGCATTTGTCTTTTTAGTCTTGCAAATCTATTGCTT